CAGCCACCATGCAGCGCAGACGTCACTTTAATGCATGCAGTTCAGCAAGCGACCACAAGGTCCCCGGGCTAACAGCACCCACCAAGGAAAGCTGCCAGGAAAGGTGCTTGGGGAGGCAGTGAGGACCAAGTGCATGAATTGGGACACTCAGCACACAGTGCTCAAAACCATGAGTCCTTCCCACAGGGAAAGGGAGGAAGAATTCTGATGAACTCCAAGGGGCACATTGGAATAACGGTCAGTTCATGGCGGTGGGGACCTCGTCCGCTTCTCTGGCAGAGTGCGGGGTTACAGAGAAGGCAGAATAATGGGGGGCCGGGCTACAAACAGAGGCTTCAGTGTCACTTCCTCGGCTTCGCATTGGTTCCTTGAGTTCCAAAGGCAGTGCAGACATGGCGATAGCAGGGCAGAATGCATGCCCACTTCATCTGCTGGGTGACACGGTGAAAGAACGTCCCAGAAACAAAAGCACCCCCCTGCCCCCATCTAGGCTTCCCTATCAATAGAGAAACCAGGGGCCATACGGAATGGCTCATTCAAAGACTGGCCATGGAGTATAGAAGGTAATTTTTTTCATTTCATTTCATCATCCTGTTATTCGTTGATTGCCTCGAGCAGGCCCCAGTAACGTCTCTTTCATCCTAGCCCTGAGATTATATTCAAGGCTCTTTAGGAGAATGAGACCCATCATTGTTACTGGTATTTGGCATATTTGGAACGCCACGGGGAGTTTGCCAGACTCTGCCCTGTGGGCAGGCTACATTCGATAGCCTGCAAGTTTATCCAAAGTAGGAATGAGATAATAAGATGTCATAAAAAGATGTCCTGATAAGATGTCAGGTTCCGGGATCTGGATTTTATAGTCTCTGAGTCTTGGCCGCTGATGGGATTACACGGCGCCAGGGGGCCAGGTGGTGGGTGTGACCCCCGCCTACTGGAATTTGGAGGATCTGGGTGGAAGATCCTCGACTCCAATCCGAGTAGGCTTGGAGGTCTCGGCCCCGGAACCCGCGTGGCTTTGTCCCTCTGCCAGTACCTTCATGTGTGCGGAGAGTGGTCTCAGCATGGTGGTGGCTGGTCCTGGAGGTCTTCGGCTGCCGGAGCCCTGGTCGGGGCGGGGAGGAAAGCTCAACCCGCTCCCCTCCAAGGGGCCCCAGGAAGGAACACCCAGGCGCGGGGGCAGAAGACTGCACTGTTCTCGTCCGGGATCTGGATTTTATAGTCTCTGAGTCTTGGCCGCTGATGGGATTACATGGCACCAGGGGGCCAGAAAGTAATAAGAAGGTAATAAGCCCCAATTATTGTGCAGTGAGAAAAGAAAACCAAACAGTTTCAAGAATAAAGGCAGGGATTTGAAACTAACGCAAGGGCAGCTGCAGTTAAAAGATGGGGAGAGAGGGCCAAAACAACCATTCAAAGATACGAAGACGAAGGTTCTTCCTAGCTGAAAGGCAGGTCAGTAACCCACGCAAGGGGAAGCAGGCGAAAATTTCTGAAGATTTCTGATAAAGGAAAAGAGCAGGGTTTAGAGTGAAAATGTAAGAATTATCCAGAGGGGAGACAAATACGGATCCAGAGAACAGAAAGACAATGGAACACTGTGTCCAAAGATAAAGCTAGTGCTTTTAAGAAGTCAAAGGGGAAAACAAAGTCAAGGGAATATATATGTGTGTGTGTGTGTGTGTGTATGCATATATATCACACTTGTAATTCTCCACAAAAATAGCTTTTAAAAATAAAGACAATGAAGAGATTTTTAACACAATCGATGAGATTAATTCATCAACAGCAAATTCACTAGAGGAAATATTAAAGGATGTTCTTAAGGTAGAAGGCATAAAGGCACATCTAACATAAAAAGAAGAAAGCTCATTGGTTTCTGCTCTAAGTTTTATTACTTCCTTCCTCCTGCCTGGTTTGGGCTCCTTTTATTGGTCACTTTCTAAGATCCTAAGCTGCGAGGTTAAGTTCTTTACTTGGACCCTTTCTTCCTTCCTGATGAATGCTTGTATCTTCTCACAATGGTTTTGTGTATATATATATAATTTATATTTATAAATATATATTTAAAAATAAAAGCACTTGTGTATAAAAATAAATAAAAGTAAAAATATGATCAATAAAGTTTAAAATCTGAAAAAAAGAGAGAAGAAAGCTCCTGGAGTTCTGAATATTTGCACCGATGGAAAGTGCACTTTCCTTGTCTTCAATCTCTTCAGAAGACAACCGCAGAGAGGAAGTAAGCACATACCCATGGAGAGGAATTTAACACAAGTAGCTGCAAGAGACAGTTGAAGACAGCAGAATGAAACAGCGGAGTGAAGGCTGTCACGCAGGACGCTCACACTCCCTGTGTGGGAGTGAAAAGTGCCCATGAAACGACCTGAGGGTCAACAAGGAGAAGGGAACGCTGGATGGGCACCCTAGGGTGGGGGAGAGCTTCCAACAGAGAGGAGAGAAGGGAAACAGTGAAAAGTATGCAAGGTGAAAGAGAGCCTGTAACAAGCGAGACCACGGAAGACCAAAAGCAGTTTGACTCTAAACAGAAACTCTGTCCGATCAATAAGTACAATGACACAGAAGGTACGGCAGCCCCGGTGAAGACAGTACCTCTCCCACACCTGTGGAGCAACGAGGAAGGGGCGGAAGGGCAGGTGCCTAGCCGTGACCTCTGTGTTTCTGCAGAGACACAGGTTTTGCAGGACGCTGGTGTGCCCAGCTTGGTGCCGACTCTGCATCATGTCCAGGAGGGGGTATCCAATGGCCTGGAGACCAAACTTCAGAAGTCACTGCATAGAGCTTGTCGCCTTCTCAGGCAGGCTGGCTCTCTCCAGCCCCACGAGCGGGTACGCCTCTCTGCCTCAGCGGGAAATGCAGTGCTCTTGCCCACTGGCTTTTGTGTCTGTCCACCCAGCGAGACTCAAGCTCTTAGGAGAGAGATTCCAATTCTCTGTGCTGTCTCTAGTCAAGGAGTTGGGGAGACCGAACAAGCTCAGGTGTTCTCAGCCCCCTTCCCCGGAGCTTCTCCAACCCAGAGGCCATCTGTACCTCAGGAGCCCTTGGAGAAAAGTGGCTGGCTTCAGCCCGCACAGGCAGGGAGATGAACGGAAGCAGAGAGCTCGGTGCTGGAACAGAGCCGAAGCGACTCCCATGGCCCACCAGCAGCTCCTGGCCCCCAGTCTCCTGACGGCATCCTGATGCTACAAGGTAGGATCGAGTATCCTCCACGCCCAGTGACAGGACTGAGGTTCCCAGTGGTCCCCCGATGTGCTCCGAAGGTGCAGTGCCAGGATTTACAGCCAATTTGCCTGCTTTGCAAAGCACAGAGCTCCCCGCTCCCCCCTCTGGCTGCCGTGGCATAGACGTGTTTCTAGACAAGAAATCAGCAGCTAGTCTTTCTGTCGATTAACACCGGGAGTTATTATTAGGCTCCAATGCTATACTTCGAACAGCCTGGACACCTCCTGTTGCTGCTAATAGCCTCTTCAATCAGCCTTCAACCCATAATTTGAGGTTATTTTTTGAACTCCTTATGTGCAATTTCCTTTCAGCCATGCATAATTCTAGCTGCGCTCTGGCAGAAGCTGGAAATTCTCAGAGAAGAAGGTCACCTTTGAGGGGGCACCGGCACGGCAGGTCACACCTCCCAGCACTTTCCCCACCCAGTGTCTTCAGGGGCTCCGGAGGGATCCCCCTTCATTCCATTGACAAAGACGAGACCGCAGAATGCTCGGGAAACACGCCCCAGACAGTGTGAGCAGCAGAGCTGGGCCGAACAGCAGGATGCTGGACGCCTCCAGCCCTGTGAAATCCTGCTCCTCCTCCTCCCTCAGCACCCAGGAACGCTCCTGCCCCCACCACCAGGACACTGCCCCCCGCGCCTTCTCCCCCGCATCAGACCGCCAGCACAGTGACACGGACACATGCCAGCCCAGGCGCCTGCACACCAACGGACAGCCACACACAGGACCCAGCCCTCAAAGGGCCGCTGGCGTGGAATGTGCATGGCTGGCCCAGGTGCCACCAGATTTGCAACCAAGACCCTCCCTTGGGCAGCACAAAGGCTGGGTCTCGAAACAACTGGGGGCAGGCTCCTTCCTGGGCCCCTGGGGATCCCCGTAGGCTGCCAGGAGTGGCCCTGGGAGTGACTCCTCACCCCGCAAAAGGCCATGATTACAGGGGAGGTCCAGCAGCCGTGCTGGACGATGGGGTGAGGTAAGAGCGGGGTGGGGTGCAGGTGGGGGGAGGACACCTGCCTCGTTGCGGTGTCGGAGAGGATCACAGGGGATGAGCAGCCTTCAGGGCCAGAGTCACTCCCCTGGAGGTCTTCCCAGGGACCCCTCACCCTTTTCTGGAGACAGGTTCCCTCCCCACCAGCCCCCACCTGCAGAAAGGCCCACTGCGCCTGGGTCTGGGAAACCCCCAAGGTCCCTCGCTGGCCTCGACCCACCAGGATGCCAGAGCTCCAGCGGGCACTGCAGGGAGCAGGAGGCAGCTCCTCTGGAGGACACAAGCGAGCACTGTTGGGGGTCCCAGAGCAAGGACACAAAAAGGACAAGGAGCCAGGGCCTCTCGTGACCTCCGCTGTGATGCGCCCCACCCCTCCTTCCAAAGTCCTGTAGAAGAGGGGGACCGGGGAGCTGGAGAGAGAGCACAGCGGGCAGGGCACTTGTCTTGCACACCTCCAACAAAGGTTTGATCCCCGGCATCCCATAAGGACCCCTGAGCCCCACCAGGTCCCCTGAGCGCAGAGCCTGGTGTAACCCTTGAGCATCACTGGGCGTGGCCCAATAAAACAAAACATAAAGAAATAAATGAAGGGAGGGGGGTGGGGACAGTCTCCCCTGTGGCCGGCTGGCGGTCCCGAAAGGCTATCGGAGGCCCAGCCTGGCCACTGGGACCAAACGGGCGCATGGAGCAGGCTCAGGCTCAGAAGAGCTTCGCAGGGGAGGCGTTTATTCTGGAAAGGCCCGGACACCGACAGAGCAGGGACACGCGCTCTGTGTCAGGCCAGATCCTGCCTTCCACACAGCCAGGGCAGCCAGCAAGGGGCTGGGGCAGGGTCTCCTCTGGACGCAAGCAAGGACGCCTGAAAGCAGCTGCCATCCCGGACGGCCGCCCCTGGCCCAGGCGCATCTTGTCATTCTCAGATGCGAGGGCGGGACCATCCGGGCAGTCTGGAACCCTGAGAGCTGGGGCCGGGGGTACAGGCAGGGGTGGGGTCTTCAAGCTTCCTGCCTGTGCCGAAGGATCTACAAGCTGCACACTCACACGTGCACGCACACACACCTATCAGACTGCACAGGTGCACATGCACACGTGCGCACACAGGCATACCTGCACACGAGTGTGTGTACACACTCACATGTACACACAGGCATACCTGCACACACTAACATGCACCAACATTCACCTGCACTTATACATGCACACACACGCTACCTGAAAACATTCATATCCTTACACATACCTGCACCCATGCATACACAGGCCTACCTGCACTCACACATACACAGTCCTACCTGCACACACACGCGCGCGCGTACACACACACACACACACACACACACACACACACACACACACAGAAGAAGCTGTGTCCCTTTTCTGCGTCTCCGCCCGTCCAGAGGCATCACACTAGTCCAGGCCCAGGGCACGAGCAGCACTCTTGGCATTAAGAAAGTTCTTCTTCTTTCTCCGGGGCGGGACATGCAATGAGAGCTCAGGCTCCTGTGGGTTCCGGAAGATAAAGAGCTTCTCGCCCGTGCTCAGGAAATCCACGGCCTCTTCCCCCAGGATGGCCACGGGGGCCACTTGGCCGAGGGGCTCCAGCGTCAGGTGCGGCCAGCTGCCCGTGCCCGAGAACACGGTCCAGTCACTGAGCGGGGCGCAGGGCCTGCCCAGAGTGCTGGAAGAGAGGAGAGAACAACTTCCGCTGCAGGGAACCCCGAGACCCTGTCCCAGCCCCCATTCCGACAGGCTCTCTCAGGGGAAGACCCCGAGACCTTGCTCCCAAGAACGTCCCCACCCCCTGATTCCATGCCGAGTGCCATTCTCAGCCTGACCAACACTTCCTCCCATCTGATTTCTGGGGCGCTCAATTTGCTCTCCTGCCTCTGACCACGGGACACGGAGCAGTGCAGTCAGCTAAGGCCCCTGCTTCCCTGGGGAAGACTCGGGTTAGGCATGCCCTGGACACTCCCTAGGAGTCCCCACTGGGCAGCACACCCCCACCCAATATGAACCTATCATTCTTACTCTGAGGAACAGTACTGTACCTGCCCTAGAACAGCTGCTCCCCAAGCTGGGTGACAACCCAGGAACAAAACCTGGGCAAGGGGCAGTGCCCAGCAGAACATGTAGGGAGAGGACCAAGGGCCTCCCCCCACCACTTTTCTGGGAACTGAGTTTCTCATCACAGCTCTGGACACTGTGGAGGCCACAGGCAGGGACAGAGAGAGCTCTGCAGCCCTGCCCAAGGAGGCTCCAGGTCTCTCCCGAGGGCCAACCCATGGAAGCAGAGTCCAACAGGGAGATGACATGAGCATCCCCCCAGAGGGCGCACACGAGAAGTAAGTCCCTGGCTGCATGTCCCCGCCCCCCCACCGCATCCCACTCCTAGAGGTCACTGGCCGTGTCCCCCCCACCCTGCATCCCGCTCCTGGAAGGCCCCCTTACCTCTCCTTCCTCTGCTGAGCCCACCGCATCCTCTCCGCCCCTCTGCTGATCAGCTCTCCCTTGAGTCGGCTCTCTAGCCCCTGCCACCAGCTCCCGTGCTTCCTGCCGGGAAAGGGGGCGCTTAGGTTCTGAGCAAAGGTCAGGCTGAACACCGGCAACGGAGGGAAGGTTACCAGCTTAAGGCGGCTTCAGCTGGGGGCGAGAGAGCGGTCTGGAGAGAGCACAGAGTGCGGGGAGGGAACTTGTCCTGCGAACGGCCACTCCCAGGAGCAAGAGTTAGGAGTAAGCCCTGAGTAGATGTGCCCCCTCCCCAGAAAGGAAAACTCAAGACAATCAAATCTCCGGGCACTTCCTCCACCCAGCGCCACTGGGGACCCTGTCCTCCCTGGGCTTGGACTAGCAGAAGGGACCCCCAGTATCCGGGGAAACAGTTTTCACTTGTCCATGCAAGGCAAACGCCCTACCGCTGTGCTATGGCTCCAGCCCATCTCTATGGCCTGACAAATAAACACCCTTCAGATTCAGCGAAAAACATCCCTCAGAGAAACAAAGATGGGAGGGTCGCCCTCAAGCTCCTCTGACTTACTGAGGAAGCCCTGGTTAGAAGTCAATGCCCCTGCCCTGGACGATGCAGTGCCCATTGGAGGCCTGCTGCCTTGCAGAGTCCACTCACCCCTGGCTGCCCGTGTCGGCCTGCTCCCCGCTGGCCCCCTCCATCGCGTGCTCGGAATGCTTCTGGCCCAAGGAGTCCAGCGCGGCCAGCAGCTCAGGCTGCAAGGCCGTGGGCAGCGCTAGGGTCAGCAGCCGGTGCAGCGTGCCTGTGGGCACCATGCTCAGCTTGGACAGGTAGGACGTCAGCCTCAGCTCCTAGAGGGTCAACACAGAGAACTCAGCGTCCGGGGTAAGCAGAGGGAACCTGACACCTCACACCTCTGGGCCTGGGGATGGAGTCCTGACGGGGCTGGCCTACACGGTCTCAGCCCCCGGAGTCGGCAGCAGACATGCACGGAGGCAGCAGATTCACATGGCCGCTGGACCCCACACCCACGGCCATGGGAGACGCTGTGGCAAGGTCCGAGTCTCAGCAGCCCTGCCCTGCTGTGTTCCTCTGGTGTGTGACACCTAGACAGGGTTTGCCAGGGTCCTGAAACCACCCCCAGCCAAGAGTCCAGAGCACAGCTGATAACTCCCACCTGGCCATCAGTCTGGCCACCACGTACAGCGCTCACCTGGCCATACAGGCTGACCACTGCGTCCGTCTCCATCTTCTCCAGCAAGTCTTCGAGCATGACCCAGTCCTGCTGCTCCTCTCTCAGGCTGGAGGGAGGACAAGGCCCACGTGAGGCCAGTTGCAATGGGAAGGGGCCCAGACACCATCCCGTTCTTCCAATAATGAAGATTCGCTGATCGACTGTCTTGGGCTGTCCAGGAGTAGGAGCTGTGCGCTGTCCACAGCCCACCCTGCTCAGCACGACCCGCACCTGGCACCCTGTGATGCGAGCTGGGCAGAACCACTTCCCAGAGAGCAGGTGGCCCTGCCTCCCCCAGGGTCCTCTGGGAGCCCGTCCATCCCCCAGTAGAGCTGGCGTCTGACTGGCAGGCCCAGAATGCGGGCCTGTGCCTGCAGCACATCTGCTGGGAAGGGGGTGGGCATCAGGGGGCCACAGCCCCCAACTCCAGCCAGGCTCTCTGAGCACTTCCTTCCAAGCACCGAGACGCAGCCCCTCCGACTAGGTCCAAGGACAGCCACGTGTGTGTTTCGCAGGGGCAGGGCTGCCCATTACAGGGGCTCTGCCCACAGCCCACCCACCCGCAGGCGGGTGTCAGACTCCGTGACGCCGGGCACAGTGCACAACTCGTCTTTGCCCTCGATATACTCACAGTAAGAAGCTACAGTGCCGGGCAAAGCCATGCTCTCACCACGACCCACGGCTGAGTCAGAAAGCGCGAGAGCCTCAAAGGCCACGGTGCCACGGCGCTGAGTCTAGAACAGGGGTTACGAGTGGCCGCAGGAGGCCAGCACGGGTGTGGACAGAGGCAGGAAATGCAGATGAGAGACTAGGGCTGGGGGCGGGCATCCTGGCCTCCTGCACCATAATTCCCTGTGATTTGCTCACTAGGGGCCACACCCAGCAGTGCTCAGGAAATGCTCCTGGCAGTCTAGGGGACCATATGGGATGCTGGGGATGGACCCTGATCAGCTGAGTACAAGGCAAACGCGCTACTCCTGGCCCCTATAACTACTCTTCTAAAATAGAAATTAAGTGGTCAGAGCTATGGATCGATCGGGTGCAAAGGGGAAGAGCTGAGCACTGTGCAGTGTGACGCCCCCCTCCCCCCAAGATTAGAATAGGGTGTTCAGGGACTGGAGAGACAGTGCCAAAACCAAGGTCTTGCCTGGCTCCATCCTGGGTGGCACCACCCTTGGCCCCCAGTACCACGTGGGGGCCCTGAGCACAGCTGGGTGCCACCCAACTGCCTTGTCCCCTAACAATAGGCTGCCCCGTGAAACTCAGTGATGTTGGGGAGAACGAGAAGAGAAGCACATTTGACGGGCGCAGGTGGGCTCCGGAACCCACCTCTGCTGCTGTTGCTTCAGGAGCTTGGGGCGCTGGCTCAGCGCTCGCTGCAGCGCGGCCGACACCTGCCTCTCGGAGTCTGGTTCCTCGGCGGATCCCGGCAGGAGCCGTGGCCCCTCCGCCGCCCACTGTTGCTGACTGGCCAGCGCCCGCTGCAGCCCGGCTGCCTCCTGGAGTGCCAGTTTGTCCTCCAGCTTCTTCTCCAGCTCCTGCAGCTCCTGCACACATACGGGCAGTGGCACAACGGGTGAGCCTGGGAGGCTCGTCCCTCAGCCGGACCCCTGCACACTGCCTCGCCCAGTGCCCTCTCTCCCAACTCCTGTCCCGCCCCACCCCCTGCCCCGCCCACCCCAGCACCCTCCCTCCTCCGATCACCTGCCAAACCGCCCGCTGCGGTAGATAGGAGATAACCATCTCATATCTGTGTGTATGTGTGTGTGTGTAGAGAGAGAGAGAAGCAGAGACAACTGGAATAAGCATCTGAGCGACCAGATAACGTGGGGCTCTTTTTGGGCACCTGGGCTTCAGGGGTGAGGGAGACAGGGCACGCACACTCTGGAGACTCACAGAGCAGAGCGGGACGCACAGTCGGAGCTGCCGTCACAGAGGGAACCCATGGGCGGCTCCATGGAGGAGGAGGCTACCTGTGCCTGGTCTCTGAGTCACCAGAAGTGCAGAAGCACTGTGGGCAGAGGGTCTGACCACATCTCCAGTGTCCAGGGGCCTAAGGTGTGGGGGACACGGGAGGAAGGGGTGGGTAGCCGGGGGAGGGGCTGTCCACAGCGGTTTTATTTTTCTGGCCCCTGGAGCCGGGCCCTGTGGCTTCTGGGGCTAAGTCCTTGGAGCACAGTGCCAGTCCCCACTCCTCTTGAACACAACAGACCTGAAGATACCTCAGGGCCAAGAGAGGACACCTGGGGAAGGCGCTTGGCCCCAGAATACAGTCTCTGAGCACCGCTGGGCGTAGCTCTCCCGCCCCCCAGCCCCCCAAAATGAAAATATCACAGGTGGGCAGAAGGTTCGACACTTAACACAGTACCCAAGACAGACCCCGGGTGCGGGGAACCCAACCAACTGGCAGCCACTCCCTGCTGATTTTTCAGGTCGGACTCGTAAGAACAGGCAAACTGGGCAGATCTGGACTGAGGCACTGTGGAAGCGGGGCGTAGGGGAGGACAGAGTGGAGGAAACTCAGGTTCTGCTGAACAGGGCTGCACACTGAGACAGAAATGCAGAGATGCAGGGGGGCTGCAGGCCGGTGCCCGCTGGGTGGGACCAGGCGGGGCTCAGGGGACCCAAGATGTTGCCAAGGATGGAACCCAGGCTGGCCGCACCCAGGCAAGGGCTTACCCCTTCACCACCACTCCGGCAGTCCCTTCTGATTATAATCAAACTCAGTCGACTGATCATTTTTGTTGGAGGATCTGCCTCTGTCTCCAGTAAGTCAACCGACCAGGAAGCAGTTCACACCCAGGGCAGGGCACAGGGCTGGGGGTGCCCACACTCACCGGGCTGTGTGAGTCCAGGACTCTGGTGCAGGCCTCCGCAGTAAGGGCCCCAGATGCACTCAGTTCTTCCAGGAGGAGGCCCTGGATGCTCAGGAGGGTGCTGCAGGCCCACAGGGTCCCGGCCGTCCATGCTACCTTCTGGAACTGCAGGGACACGAGCGACTCGGCGAAGCAGCTCTCCTGGGCCTCCAGCTGCTGCAGCCTCTCGGCCCGCAGCTCCACCCGGACCTGGAGCAGGGGAGCAGGAGGCAGGGGTCACGGGGTCCAGGGGCAGTTGAATACAGCACTGGCTCGATCCAGTCCTGAGAAGGGCCAGGAGGGGCGTCCCCATCGCCAAAGGAGCTGCAGCCCCCCTGCTGCAGGCAGGCAGATGGGGTGGGCCCCAATGACAATGGAATTCCTAGGAGGGAAGAAAGCCAATAGGGCCTCACCTGGCACCAGCAGCAGGTCCAGAGAAGGCCGGGCTCTCCGAGCAGAAACAGGCCAGGAGAGGAATTTCAAAGAGGACCATTCCCAACTCAGCCCCCTTGGATACCGCCCTATCAATGGACTCTCACCTAGGTAGAAGCCCCACAGAGGGGCAGGTTGGAGAAACTCTCTGAAAGGCAGATGCTGCCCGAGCCCACGTGCTGCTTGTGCCCACGTGGCCGAGCACATGTATCACCCGCCTGCATCTCCCCTCTGGAGATGAGGCCTCTCTCTCTCTCTCTCTCTCTCTCTCTCTCTCTCTCTCTCTCTCTCTCTCTGTGTCTCTGTCTGTCTGTCTGTCTGTCTGTCTCCCTCCCTCTCTCCTCTCCCTCTTTCTCTTTCTCCCCTCTCGGTCTTCCTCTCTCTCTCCTCTCTTTGTCCCTCTCTTTTTTTTAAACTTTTTATTGAATCATCACAAAGCTCTTCATGATTGGGTTTCAGTCATACAGTGCTCCATGTTCTCTTGAGTGTGTTTCTCTCTCTCACTTTCTCTCCCTCCTTCCCCACCCTAAACCCTCAAATAAAATCCACTTTTACTTCACTGCTTGTCTACTCCTAAAATTCTTTTCTGCGAAACAGGACAAAGAAAACCTAGAAATCCTGGGGAAGGCCTAGGAATGACTCTTACCAGCCCTAAACTTCCCAGCTGGCCCGGGGGAGGCAGAGGAGGAAAGGGAGGAAGCAGCAGTCTCTCTCCTCCTCGCCTCACATAAGCCAACCCTGGGGGCCCACCAACCTCACCCCCACCCCATCCCCCACGGCTGAGCCAGGGTGGGCTGCCCTGCAGAGGGTGGATGTGCCCGGTCAGTCTGGGCTGTGCCCTAACAGTGATGTAGGCAGGTAGATAGGGAAAGGCTCTCTGCAATGAAACAAAGTCTCATAGAAGAAGAATTCTAGGACCGACCCACCCTGTGGAGACAGAGAATAAGGACTTGATAAGACCATACCCAGACCCTGAAGATATGGGCCTCCTCCCCATGAAATTCCTCCTTTCCGAGAACCCCCCTTTCAATCCGGTTGACTCCAGCGACCCAGCCCCAAGGTGATTCCAGGACATTCCAAGTCAGATGATTCTCGAACCCCCTTTCAATCCGGTTGACTCCAGTGACACAGCCCCAAGGAGATTCCAGAACATTCCGAGTCAGAAGGATCTATAAGAACCAGCTCGAGAGCCCACTTGGTGCTCTCTCCACCCTCGGAGAAGCCCGCGTTCCCTCTGGACGCGTTACTCTCTCTCTCTCTCTCTCTCTCTCTCTCTCTCTCTCTCTCTCTCTCTCTCTTACTATCTGCTTATCCCTTTCTCTCCCTCTCCAAAAGCCTCCAAATAAAACCTGTTACTTCACTGCTCGTCTACTCCTGAAATTCTTTTCTGCGAGCGAGACAAGAACCCCAGAAACCTCGGGTAAGGCTTGGGACTGGTCTCTCCTTTCCTGCAAAGAGCAAATTCTCGCCCCAGCTTGAGTCCGTGGCTCCCCGAGCAATCGGGTGGCGGGGATTAACTCCCGTGCCGAGAAGATCAAGCGGACTTCAGGTGTGGCTTGACGGTCACCTTGTGGGGCTGGCAGGGCTTAGGCCCGTGCCGAGCAGGTGCTCACTGCAGACTTTACCGGTTCTAGCCTACCCAGGGTCCTGGGTGGCAGAGGCGGGTGGGGAGAAAGTGACCGTCTTTCTCCTCCCCACTTCACATAAGTCACCCGTGGGGCCCACCGACATAAACAGGACTTCCCTCCTGCGGCTTCCTTTCTTTCTTTTCTTCCCAATGAGTTGGGGTCTGGGGCCACACCCTGAGGGGCTTCGGGGTCTACTGGCTCTGTCTTCCTGGGAGACCAGGCGCGGTGCCAGGGTGAACACCCAAAGGCGCCTTAGCCCTGCGGGGCCTCTCCAGCCCACCTGCTTCCTTTCCAAGTCACTTGCTTGCAGGGACGAGTGCACTATCTCCCCCGTACCCAGGCTCGTGCTCGGCTTCCGTGGGGTCCCCCTGGCCCTTTCCCTGTTCCCTGCCCCCTCCCCGCCCCTCCAGGGCTGTGTCAACCCTGTGGGATGTTCATTCCAAGAAGACAGGAACTCTTGGCTTATTCAGGCATATCTATCTATACCTCAGCCGAGAGGCACGAATATTTCCGCAACGTAGTGCTTTAAAAACAATTTGTTTCCTTGCATGTTCTGTGGACAAAGAAGTCTGAGGGGAAAAATGCCAGATTCTCCTCCTGAGCCCCATTTCCTGTCTTTGATGAGCTCTCTTGGCTAACTCCCTGGGGAGAGGGCTTTCATCCTTGTCTGAAAGAACTCCTGGGAAGGAGGCAGATTTGCATATCTAAGAGGCATTAGTGACAGACTTCATTAAATATTCAAGCAACCCAAAGTAATAAAATTCATTTGCAAAACAACATGTGGGCTAAAGACTCTGATTTTAAATGGGAGATTCAAACCCACCCTACCAGTTTCCTGACCTGCCTGTAGCTGAGGGCGGAGTCTCTGACGCGCCCTCCAGGAGGGCTGGATGTTTCACCCAGTGTCACCCAGAGGAGCATCAGTGACAGTGTCCTGACCAGCCAGTGATGCAGGGCCCACTCCAGTGGGAGACACTGCCTTGTGTGGCCCCCTTGTGATCCTGGCAGTGGTCTGGGCCCCCAGCTGGCCCTGGTACTCTGATTACTGGCCTAAACAGCACCCATCTCTGGACCCAGCATGGAGGGGTCTGGTCCAATGAGCCAAGTATCCGTGCAGCAGCCCTGGGGCCGTCCACACTATGTGGGCTGCCCACTCGCCCACCAAAATACAGAACAGAAACCAGAAAGAAGACAGAAAGCAAGAAGGAAAGCTAATGCTCACCCTGGCCTGGCCTGACACCGGCTGTCACCAATCCTACCACTGACCCACCCCACTCACCCCTGCCTCTGACCCACCCCACTCACCCCTACCTCTGAGCCCTCCACTCACCTCTGCCTCTGACCCACCCATCACCTTTATCTATGACCCACCCCACTCACCCCTACCTCTGAGCCCTCCACTCACCTCTGCCTCTGACCCACCCCACTCAGCCCTGCCTTTGACTCACCCTGACTCCCCTCTGCCTCTGACCCATCCCTATTCAACTCTCCCTCTGGCTGTCCCCTCAATCTAACCCTGTGTGCCCAGTGCACCAGCTCTCCTGCCCATCCCTCAGGCCCCTGTCTGAACAAAGGGCGCCAGGCTGTGGCTGACCTTCTCCTGCAGGTCGTCGGGGGGCTGCTCCTCAGAGAGCCGGACCTTGTCCTCCAGGCGCCTCTTCAGTAGGTCGGCCTTGCTCTTGTTCTTGGAGCGGGACTTCTTGGCCTTGGCCGGGTGCTGGGGGCGGGGAAGGCTCATGAGGGCCCCAGCCCCTCCCAGCGCCCCTCCCCGGCTGGCCCCGCCACTGAGTGTGAGGAGCTCAGCTGGCTGGGGGAAGGGGCATCAGTGCCCAGGTCCTGTGAGGGTTCTGGTGGGCAGTCTGGGCTTCGCAGAGACAGAAGACCCCACTCGGCCATCTCTCGGGCCTGGTGCCCGCCCCACCCCGCCAGTCTCTCGCCAGCACCTGGGGTCACCTCCCAGCAGGGCGCGACGCCCACCCGTGCCACCCGGAGCCACCAACCTGCAGCTCGGGGGCGGCCAGGGCCTGGTCCAGCTTCAGGGCCTCTGCGTCCCGCCAGGCGGCCAGGAAGCGCCGCTGCAGGACACGGGCGCGAATCCTGGGGAGGGCCAGGCTGCGGTCCATCTGTGCCAAGTAGCCCTGCGCCTCCCGCCGCATGCCCAGCAGCTCCTCCTGCGACAGCGAGAAGCAAGAGGCGCAAAGCTGCCTGCAGGGAGAACAGAGAGGCCAGTGGGCACCTGGCAGAGCAGGCCGGGGAGAGCTCGGGGTGGAGCCTGGCCCACGACATGGGGAGGGGTGGCGGGGTAGCGGTTGTGGGTTGGAGCAGAGCAGGGCCAGGAGAGCTCAGGGCGGGGACCAGCCCAGCCCCAGGACACGGGGCATGGGGGGTGGGGGGTTGAGCCCACAGGTGCTGTGTGCTGGCAGCTGGCCCCTGGGGTCTGCGGGACTGAGAACTGGGGGTCCTGGCGCTGGGGTGAGGCCTATGACCAACAGCTGTATTCGAGGAAGCCTGTCCTGGGCCGAGGGGGCGGGAACGTGACCCCTGAAGTTGAAGCACGAGCCCCCAAAAGGGTGCCGCATGGCTCCGGGCCCAGGAGTGAGTGCAGCCGGGGAAAGAGCATCAATGCGAGTGTGACTGAGAAGGGGCTGGAGAGGAAGCCCAGTGGTGAGGGCCTCGCCCACGCCTGACCGAGTCAGATTCCCCCAATCCCCACCAAGAGTGATCCCTACGCACAGAGCCACAAGCAAGCCCCGAGCACAGCTGGGGGAGGCCCCAACATGACACCCAAAAAAGTGAGTCAAGTGCAAGGACCCACATTTGTCCTAAGCCTCAGGCGGCCTGGCCTCGGGGCCCAGGAGGCAGGCACCAGGGGCAGGCCTTGGCACCACCTGTTTCTCCATCATTCTCTAAGGTTCCCTGCAGGTGAGCACAGGGGCGTCTTGCCCCTCCCAGCTGCGCAGACAAGCTCCCGGGCGCCGCTGGATCCAGAGTGTCCGCAGCAGCGGGGGCCAGGCCAGCTCCCAGGGCCGGTGCGGGCAGGGGCTCATCTAGAAAGTTCTCCCGTGGAACCAGAACTGGACCTTCCAGGCCGATGTGCCCACCTCCGCCAGGCTAAGCTGCATGGCCCCGCGCGTGAAGGCCAGGCTGGGCCCGCGGCCACTCACGCGAAGACCAGCTGCTCCCAGTGCCTCAGCTCGGCCTGCTCCTGCACAGCGGCCTCCAGCGCGTCGTCCTTCAGCCTCTGCCTCACGCCCTGGACGCCCTCCTGGCCCCTGTCGCGCTCCTCGGCCTCCAGCCGCTCGGCCTGGGCGGCCATCTCCTGGCGGTGCTCCTCCAGGATCTGCTGCAGGAACAGCCAGGGCGCGCTGCGCTTGAGCAGCTCCTGGGCCATCCCCGAGCTCTGCAGGCGCCGCAGCTCCTCGGTGGCCCTCTCCGCCCGCGCCAGCGCCAGCGCCCGCAGCTCGTCCAGCGCCGCCTGGTCCAGGCGCTCCTGCAGCTCCTCCAGGGCCGCGCCGTGGTCCGCCAGCAGGCCCCGCCACTGCTCCAGGTACTGGCCCACATCCTCAGCCGTCCGGAAGGCCTCGCTGAGGGCCAGCTGCTCCTTCCGCTGCTCCCTGTGCTGGAGGGACAGGGGGCAGAGAGGCCACGCTCGCGGCAGGCCTCTGAAGGACCCAGGCGGGGGCACAGCACACCCGTGGCAGGAACCTCCGCGCGTCGGAAACCCTTCCCGCAGCAGTCACACACTTGAGAACACACTCCCGCAGGAGACGCTGCCACTGAGGGGCCGCTCTCCGCTCAGGGAGCGGAACCGTGTCCACCGACAGGCTGTGACACGCAGAAGAGCCGCATCCTCACTCCATGCTCTCGGAGGACACTGATCTGACCACAGGATCTAATCATGAGCTCCACGGAATCTGGTCACGGGATCTAATCCTGAGCTCCACCAGATCCACTCGTGGATCTGATTCTGAGCCCCAAGGGATCTGATCACGGGATCTGATCATGAGCTTTGTGGGATCCACTCACGGGATCTAATCACGAGCTCCACCGGATCCAATCGTGGGATCTAATCCTGGCACCAGATCCAATCATAATTATCTGATCATGGGGTCTGATCATGAACTCCATGGGATCTGATCATGGGATCTAATCGTGGGATCTATGACAACTCAAAAGAGCAGTGTGGCCTGGTGAGGGACTTCCTACTTCCAGGGGATAAGGCTCTGGGGCAAGAGTTCACTGCAACAGATCTTTGCCACTACTGCGCTCCCGAAAAAAATCATGATCAGAAGGGGGAAATCCCGCGACCCACGAAAGGTAAGTAAAAAGAGGAAGTTGGAGACAGGGCACGGTGGGCGGACACCCTCGCTCCATCCCCAGCATCTCATTCGGCTCCCAGCCCCACCAGGAGCATCCCAGCTCCCTCAGCACAGAGCCAGGAGTAAGCCCTGACGCCGCGGGGGGCAGCCCCAAACCACGACTGCTCTGACCCTCCAACTCTGGTAAGACAGGAGAGATCCCCAGTCCACACTCCAGAAAGCCATTCCCAGCTAACTGATGGCAAACGGCCCATTGCAGTGTGACGCCAGGCGCGGGACCTGGCCCGAGGAGTGCTCGGCAGTGATCACAGAACTTGCCTTCTGCAGTGTCTCACGCCGACTTCTGATTATCAGCTTCTGGCAAAGCTTCTTCCTCTCCTGCTTCAGGTCATTGTCCAGCTTCTGCGTCACCGAGAAGACTTCAGTGTGGACCCGCTCCAGCAGCGCCTCCGTCTGCTCTTCGTCAAGGTACCCGGCTCTGGGGGGAGACGGAGCCACGTCTGTGCTGACTCCACCAAGCAGCCAGCCCAAGCCCGGAGGAGCAGAGCCAGCAGCCCGGGCACGGCTGCACACAGGAGGAAGAGGGGCCAGTGGGCTGGAGCACAGGGATGCACCGAGCCGGGCAGGACTACAGCGAAGGGCGTCACTAGGCAGAGACGGGATGTGGATGGGAAAAGCAGAGTCCAAGGGGGAGTTCAGGGCCCACTCGGGGTGGGCCAAGCTCCAGGGCCGGGCCCAGAGGAAAAAACCAGGCCTGTCCGGGGCGAGATGAGCACCTGGTGGGGAGCGGGCTTATGGGTCTGGCCAACGCTCATTTCCGAGGCGGTGGCGCCACTCAGCCTGGCTTGGCCCCAAGAGAAGAGAAGTCAGAGGCAGGAGGAATGCAGCCCCTTTGCCCTGCCCTGCTGCTGAGTGGGAACCCCTGGCTCACGTCCTCCTGCTTTTAGAGGGGGCTGACGTCCCTGCGGGGTGTCCAGGGCCAGAGGGGAACTGGATTTCACCACTGGCCTTCCAGGGTCAACCATGTGCGCTGACACCCCAACCCTCTTCCCCGACCCCATGACAGCTCCTGGCGGCCTCCGTCCCAGGGCACCTCCCGGGCTGGCCACTCTCCAGCTGGGCTGGCTGTGAGGTGAGCACTGGGTGGATTCCCCAGGGAAGGGGTGCATAAGTGAATGACAGGATGGCAGGGAGGTGTTTGAGGACAAACATGCACATCTGTGCGGCCATTCCAAGCAGGATTTAAAGAGGCAAAAGGCCTCAGTGTCCACGTCCACGCTCTGCCTCTCCACAGGCGTGAAAATGACTCAGCACAGGCAGATTCATTAGCACCTCTGGGGAGCGCCTTATCGCATCATTTGCACCTTGCAGAATCCTCCTAAAACAAAGTGGAGTTGGCCAAGTTCCATAGCAACTCTGAAAACATCACCCCTGGATGGCCCAGTCTCACCTTTAAGGTCTCCAAGCTTCTGTCTGTCTTAACCAAGCACACACCTGAGCGACGCCCTGGCCGTCAGCTATGTGCTGTGCCAGGCACCTGGCTAGTCTTAATTCCCTGACCGTCCCCCGCACCCCCCCTTCAACCTGGAGCTGTTTCGAAGAAATCTGCAACACCTTGTGGCTGCCTCAGAGGTGCCGGCCTCGGGGTGGTCCCCGGGGATCCGTGCGGGCGGGGACACTGGGCTGAGCATCAGCAAGATTCCCCAGCTCTCACAGGCCCCTGGGGTCCACTCAGCTAAGGCCAGTGTCCGCGTGTGTGGTTCTGGGGCTCAGGGAGCAGCTCCCAACACTCCCTCGAGGCTGCACCTCTGGCAACCGGAGAATCCTCCAGACGGAGGTCAGGAGGCTGGAGAGAGTCCAGCAGGAAGGCGCTGCTGTGCGTGCAGCTTACTCACAACCAGTCCTCCCTGGCACCCCTCGGGTCCCCTGAGCCCTGTCATGTGTGACCCCAAGCACTAGGGGGTGTCACCCCTAAATAGCATCAGCCAAGCACACACCTCCAGGCGCAGAGGCAGGATGGCGGCTGGGCAGAGCGACTCGGCCGGCTGGGGACTCACCTCTCGTGCTTCTGGATGAGGAGGCTGAGCTGGGCGGCAGCCACCCGCAGCAGGCCCTGCACACGGCTTTCGGCGGCCTGCATGCTGCGCACCAGGTATTCCCGGTGGGCAAAGCGCTTGCTCAGGTGCCATCGCTTCCTCGCCTGGAGGAAGTCCATCAGCTCCTCGACATCCTCCTGCCAGGAGCGGCGAGAGCGGGTCACAGCGGGACGGTCATCCCTGAAGGGGCCCTCTGAAGTCGACCCACGGAAACTTGAGCCCAGGACTCCGCCCACCCCTTCCCCTGACAAAGACGAGGAAGATGACAAACCCCCAGAAACCAGGGCTCAAGATGGGAGTCCAGTAGGACCACCCACGCCGCTGCCAAAAAACAACACGTAGAGTCCGCCCCTTGTCATTCATTCATTCAAACATCCTTCACCCGGGCACCAGAAGTGAGGCACCACCCCAAGGGGGCCCCGAACGCTGCAGCCTGATGCCAGGAACACGGACAGGAAGAGCAGCGAGCACGTGCCCCCAGAGCCAGCCCAGCACAAAGGGAGACACCCTCCTGGGCTGGCTGGAGGTCCCATGCTCTGAATCAGCGTGGCCCTAAGGCCCATGAACCCAGCACCACGCTCCCTCACAGGAAGGACAGCCCTGGCACGGAGGGTCTCTCCGGCCATCTCCAGGAGTCAGCAGGGAACCCACTCAACAGCACCGTGATGCCCAGGGGTCTGCACGCACAGACCACCGGGGAAATAGGCCAGTCTTGCTTTAATAACGTACCTTAAAGTCCCAGTGGGGAAACTGAGGCTAAGGAACCCTACAGCAACACTCAAAGCCTCACAGACCATTTTTATGGCCATTCAGAGGTATTTTTTTCTGTCTGGATGAGTCCCACTCACACTCCGGCTTACACGCAGACACAGACCACAGCTGGCCTGCCACACAACACTTGAGTGCGTGTCTACCCGGCCCTGTGTGCATGGTGTGTATGGCACAGATGCCCTTTCCACGGCCTTCATGATGAAGGAGCCTCTGGAGTGGGGTCCTGATTGCCCCCACCCAGCCCCACTTTGCAGGAGGGGAAACTGAGGCTCTGGCCGTCAGGCCTTTCGATTCATTGAGCCCACACAGCTCTCGGGCTGCAGGCCGAGCCCCGGGGCAGCTCAGCGTGAGCAGCAGGGCGAGAGCAGGGCGGGGGCAGCACAGGGGCGGGCCAGGAGCCAGGGCGCAGGGGTGCCAGCACGCACCCCGGGGGAAGCGTCACCTGACTCTGCGCGTAGTCCTGCAGCAGCTCCTCCGCCAGCTCTGGCCGCAGCTCCCCGGTGCCCACGGCGCTTTGAATCTGGGCAAAAAAGATGCTGTGCAGCTCGCTCCTCTGCAGGATGGCCAGCTGCCGGCGCGCCCGGGCGAAGTCCTCCTGCTGCCTCAGCGCCAGCGCCTGCCTCAGCTGCTCCTGCTCCAGGCCATGCAGGCTCCGCAGGAGGCTGCCGCACTCTGCTGCCGACTACAGGGGGGGGGGGGGGGCGGAGAGGCCGCGTGAGGCCGAGGCAGACACACACGGGGCCGTGAAGCACGCGGCACGGGCGCAGGCACGTGGCACAAGACACGGTCCCAGGTTGGCCCCACCCCCGAAGGGGCCCACGGACTTGATGGGAACCCTGACCCTCACTGAACGCAGCACCAGCCCCTGGGGGAGCACCAGGGAGCACAGGAACGCCTGGAGGCGTTTCTGCCGTGAAGGTCAGGGAACACAAGCCCGAGGGACTGTCTCGTCAACTGCCTCGGCCTCCCTGTGACAAAGGAAAGGACTGGCAGAGGCTGAGAGGTGCGGGAGGGCAGGGTGAGGGCAGTGGGCGGGGCTGCAGGTCAGGCGGGCACAGCAACACCTAACACCGGGCACACAGACACGGCAGCCGGCATGAGGAGGGGCGGGGCTGGACGGGTCCTCCCGCTCTTTCTTTCTTTCTTTTTAGGCTTTGCAGCTGGAGTTGGCTAATTCTCTATAAAAACACAGACAGTCTCAGCAGGCTACTCAGGCCTCTGTCACACATCCTCTTTCTCTTAGTTTTGGTTTGTTGGTTTGTTTTGGTTTTTGTACGATCACGACCATCCTGTTATTCGTCGATTGCCTCGAGCAGGCCCCAGTAACGTCTCCTTTGTCCTAACCCTGAGATTTTTAAAAAAGTGCCAAATTCAAGGCTCTTTCAGAGTTAGGAGAATGAGACCCATCATTGTTACCGGTATTTGGCATATTGGGTACGCCACGGTGAGTTTGCCAGACTCTGCCGTGTGGGCAGGTTACATTCGGTAGCCTGCCAGTTTGTCCAAAACAAACCAACAAACCAAAACAGAGAAATAGGATGTGTGACAGAGGTTTTTGTACAATCCCTTAAAAACTGAAAAGCCACCCTCCCTGATGGACCAGATCAGAGAAGCCAACAGGACGGGACTCTGGCTCTGGTTTACCAGAACACCTCCCAGTTTTTTCCCAGCACCCTCGCTGCCCACTAGAAAGCCAGAGAGTTGGTTTTCTGAAAGAATTCGGACAAATGGGACGGACGGCTACGCAGATGAACCAATGAGAGTGTTGGACGGTGGATGAATTGGCAGGAGGGTGAATGGGCAGGTAAGTGGATGGACGGAGAGTTGCATGTTCTGGCGGGTGCTGGGTGGATGGATGCACACACGAGTAAGGCTGGGGAGTGTGTGAAGAGAGGGACAGATGGTGTGGTGATGGATGGATGGACGACTGGGTGGACTGACAGGCAGAGGGAGGGATGGATTGGTGGGGGGGTAGGTGAGTGTATGGGCAGATAAGAGGGTGATGGATGGATGCATGGGTCAGTGGGTGGACAGACATATGGACGGACAGATGGATAGATGGACAGACAGATGGAGGGATAGACAGATAGATGGATAGACAGGTAGACGGATGGATGAACAGATGGATGGATGTATAGATGGATGGATGGATAGATGCAGAGAGGATGGACAGAGGGTGGTGGCTAGCTGGCCCGGCGGACCATGGCAGCGGGAGAGGGCCTCCTACCCGCTCACTGGCATGCTTCAGCACCTCCTCGGCCTCCTCCATGGCCGCCATCTCCCTCTGATACTGGCTGTCTGTCTTCTTTCTGCTTTCCAAGTCGCTCTCCGCGGCCAAGGCCACCATCTTCCTGTCATACTCCTCCTGGATCTCCTTCTCCAGCAGCAGGAACTGCTCCTTGAGGGCGATGCCCATCCTCCGCTCCACTTGCGGGGGGACGCGGCCGTGGCTCCTGAGGGTCCTCAGCAGCAAGACGACAACATCTTTGCTGATTCGCGTCCGACATGCCTCCAGCTCTGAGTCGGCCCGGCTGAGGGTTGTGATCTCCAACCTGGGACACGCAAAGGCCGGGGAGCTCAAGCACAGGGATCCCACAGAGAATGCAAGTCTGATGTGTGCGAGTGACGCCCTTTCCCCCCTCGCTCGGACCGTCCAGCCCGTGGAGGCCCGTGAGAGGGCAGCTCTGCAGCGGCAAGTGTGCAGTGCTCTGCCGAGAGCGAGAAGGCGCTAAACTAACCCTAGACACCACTGTGGTTGCCAAGGCGCCGTGGACAGGGAGCCCCTGGAGAGGGACAGGAAGGTCCCGGAGGGCTGTAGAACAAACTGTCTCCTCCCAGCTCAAAATCAGCTATAGGCACGGAAACTTAATATCCCGCGGTATCCTGGCTGGGGTCCGGAGGCAGAAAATGGACACTGAAACGGGAGAACGGATCAAGTACGGCCTTTTGTTCATAACGATGCATCAACACTGGTTCCCTGGCGGAGACCAGTGCTCGCTGGTCACCAAGAGGTAACACGGGAAGATACAACCCAGGGCAGAGGAGGACTGTCCGCATCACCTTCTGGATTTTGCTACTAATCTACAACAGCTGTGAACATCAAGTCCACCGGGAGAACACACCAGTGAATCAAAGCCTAAATTTATGGGGTGCTAACTGGGGTCCAAAACTACAGGGGAAATAAAGCAAAGGGAATAGACCAGGTTGTGCAGGGGTTGAAGAGCTTTTCTTGCACACAGCCGAGTCCAGCTCACAGCTGACCACAGAGAGTCCCCCAGCCCCGTCAGGAGTGAGCCCTGAGCACAGAGCTGGGAGTGAGCTGAGCTCAGTGCTCAGGAGCACTGGTCTGGAAGTCACCCCTGAGCACAGCCAGATGGACCCCCCTGCTCCCCAACAAACAAAACACACAGGAGAAACAAGTTTGTATTCCTCCTCGAAACTGGCACATGCAGCTGCTGTGTGGGCCAAGATGCCCTCGGCTGCTGGTCAGACCCTCCCTGACACCCCCCTCTGTGGCGCCTAAACACCCAGGGGCTGTGCCGAGGCCAAGGGGGTCCAGAATCCCACAGACGCTGTGCATTGGAGCGGGGGGTAGGCAGTCTACGCCCCCTGTGCACCATCCCAGCGCTTCCATGGCCAGACACAGGCGGGAACCCCGGAACTAAGGCGCTGGCAGCTGCCGCTGGGAAGGGACTCAGCGCTGGGTCCCAGGCAGGCCTGAGGTTGGCCCGAGGGCAGAGGCCCCTTCCTCCCTCCCCAGAGCCACGCACAGCTGCTGTTCCCTGCCCCAGAGGCTGCCCCTTCCCCTACAGGCAGAGGCTCTCAAAGGCCGTGTGGGACACGTCTGAGGACAGGGGAAGCTGGAAACGGGAACGAGGAAGCACTGGGGCAGCCACCGCGAGAGGAAGGCCAGGCCAGGGGCAGGGCTGGGCTCATGGTCCATGGTCGTGGAGCCTGGGGGCCTGGGCAGCAGACGGGACAATGCGGGGCCAGGCGGGCTGGCACTGGACCCCAGCCCCCACAGTGCCAGCCTGCACCCGGCCGTCTACACTGGCTGCTGGGGGCCACTCATGACGGTGGACGGAGGAGAAAGAGAGAACAAAAGGGAATGCCCTGCCACAGAGGTGGGGTGGGATGGGGGGGATGGGGGGATGGGAGGGATACTGGGACCTGTGGTGGTGGAAAATGGGCATTGGTGGAGGGATGGATACTGGATCATTGTATAACTGAAACCCAAGCACAAAAACTTGTAAGTCTACAACTGTACCTCATGGTGTTTCACAAATAAAAATTAAAAATAAAAAGAACATAAACAATAAACTAAACAACACACACACACAAAAAAAATGTAGTGGCTGAAGTGATACTACAGCAGGTAGGGCATTTGCCTTGCACGTGGCCGACCCGGGTTCGATCCCCAGCATTTCATATGGTCCCTGAGCACTGCCAGGTGTGACCCAAAAGGAAAAAAAAATAAAGAAACTGGATTCAGGTCCACTGGCTCTCACGCCACCCGGACCTCGACCTTTCCAAAGCCCGCTGCCTGCGCCCACCCTTTCGCCAACACACCATGTCAGGTGCATCTGGGGGTGAGGGGCGGGGGCACAGCCAGCGGTGCCCAGCGACTGTCCCACGCTCCAGAGTGACCTCTGCAGTGCTCAGAGGCTCCATGCAGGGCGAGAATCACAGTGGGACAGCCTAATGCCGGGCGAGCACCTGTCCTCGCCTCGGCCTCCTCCCCTCACTTCCTCCCCCCATGCCACGTTCAAACGGCCCCTGCCCCCGAGAAATGTTTCTGTGACCTCCCAGCACCCAGCGGCCCCTCAGCCCAGTGTTCATCAAGCTCACGAGGTCACGCCTGGCACACAAGCTGCCAGTCAGCCACAAGCACCCGGCAGGAAAGAAACGACCGAAGGAAGGTGCACAGGGGCCACTCTGCCCTCCCTCCAGCCACCGGACCAGACTCCGCGGGCGCTTTGGAGACCAGGACGTGGCACTTACTCTTCCAGGGCCTGGAGCATGCCCTCGGGCTCACCCGAGGCCAGGATGTCCACCATCTGCTCGTTGAGCGCCAGGTCCTCGCTCAGGCCATCAGCCGAGGTGAACTGGGAGTGCTCCGGCCTGCCCTCGGGGTGCTGAGCCTGCGGGGAGACGAGGAGGGAGTGGGCCCTCGCTGCTGCCCCCCAGGAAGGCCAGGCAGAGAAGGGGCTGCCCCCAGCCCCGCGTGGAGCGGCCAGGACGCCCACTCTCTTGTCAGAGGAACGGGGTGAGGGCTGAGGGCTGCGTGAGTGTAACATATGGCCGTGGGCAGGAAGGTCCTCAAAACCTCGTTAAAGCTTCCAAATATTTCATCATTAACACGATTATATCACCGTCATTCCCGCTAAACCACTGCACCAGGCTTCCCCAGCATCAGCACAGTCACCACCGCTCACCACAATACACCAATGACCCATTTCCCTCCCTCCCCTCACCCATCAAGAGCAGCACCATCATGACCCCATCCCTATCCCATCACCCATATGACCCCTTCACCCAGGTCGTTCCCTCCCCATCATCATCATCAGGATCCTCACCATCAGCACCAGCAGCATCACCCACTCCCTCCCTCCTCAGCACCACCCCTGCCCTGTCTCTGTCCCAGGCATCAGGCCACCACTGTCTCATGCCCTTGACTCCACGCCCCCTCCGCCCTCCTCACTCTGTGGAGCGGAATCGTGGCGGGCGGGCGGCCTGGGCAGAGCACGCATCTGGCTGATTCCTCAGGAGAACAGAGAATCATCAGGGCCCCAGACTGGTCTGAGCCCGCCCCTCCAGCGCGCGAGATGAAACCACACGCTCCACGCTGCCGTTGGGTGGGGCAGGAGGCAGGCGTGGGGTGCCGAGCCACCGGAAGAGGAAGCTCCCCAGATGTCTGGGCACGCATGCGGATGGGGCCTGGACATGGGCGGGTGCTCGGCCACTCCCCCATTGGGCCGTCCTCCTTCACCAAAGGCCAGTGAGTGGCGGGGCCCTGCCTGAGGGTCGGTGATAGAGGCCGAGTCCAAGCCCCAGCACCACAGCCTAGTGAGTGGGTCTCAGCCCACAAGCACCGCACCCCAGAGTATCGCTGAGCATGGACACCCAATGGGTGACCCTCTCCAACAGCCCACAGGCAAGCGGGCCCCAGCACTGCAACAATAATGACAACAGAAGGGGAGAGAGGGAGATAGGGGAGGGGAAGGGAGGGGAGAAAGGGGAGGGGAGGGAAGAGAGGGGAAAGAAGGGTTGAAGAGGGGAAGGGAGAGGAGGGGAGGGAGGAAAGGAGAGGAAAGGAAAGGGAAGGGAGAGGAGAGGAAGGGAGGGAGAGGAGGGGAGGGGAGGGGTGAGGAGGAGAAGAATGGAGAGGAAGGAGGGGAGGGGAGGGGAGAGGAGAGAGCAAGTCCCAGGAAGGGAAGAAAAGGACACTGGTGGAGGGAGTGGTCATTCTGGAGGGTCATGGAGTGCTGAAAGGTGGTGTAAAGTGCCCACCAATGGGTTAGGCTGGGGGCAGGAGGGTAGCTGGACAATGGCAGAGGAAAGCTGACACCAGTGAAGGGCGGGTGTTGGATTGTAATCCTGGAACTCAATCATGAGTAACTTGGAAACTTTGCAATTCACGGTGATTCAATTAATAATAATAATAATAATAATAATAATTTTAAAAAAGCAAGCAAGCACAGGTTTTAAAATGAAATTCTCGACTGTGACCCTGGCAGTCATCACCAGAGTGCAACTGTCTTTTCTGAGTAGTTTCTGGGTCCTTGGATCGACACCCGGGAGGGGAACTGCTGGCTCACATAGAAACTCAATTCTTCGTTTCTCAAGAGATTTCCAATTTGTTTTCCCAAAAGGTGCGGTTGACGCTGCCTCCGCAGTGCAGGGGACACTCCCCCACGGCCCACCGACACGGGCTGTTCCGCGTGGCACGGGCATGCCTGGCGGGTGTGGAGTGGTACTTCCGTGCTGTTCGGATTTGCACTTCCCTGCTGGTTCGCGGTGCAGAGCGTGTTCTCACGCACACGCCAGCCACCTAGGCCTCTTCCTCGGGGAAGTTTCTGTTCCTCTCTTTCCCCGTTGTTTAATGGAGCTGATTGTTTTTCTTATCACATTCTTCAAGTACTCATATATCTTGGCTATTCGCCTTGGCCAGGTGAGTGGCGAGCAAATATTCTCTCCCAGTCTGGAATATCTGCTCTGTTTTGGTGCCACACCAGCAGTGCCTGGGGGTTACTACTGGCTCTGCACTCGGGAATCACTCCTGGCGCTGCTCCAGGGACCATGCAGCACACTGGGATCAACACTGGGTGAGTCACAGGCAAGGGAAGACCTCCCGGCCGTCCCGAGGCGCCAGCCCAGATGAGGTGCTTATTCTGGTCGTCATATGGAAACAACCCAAGTGCCTAAGAACAGACACCAGACAAAGAAACCGGAGTGCACAGACACCGTGGAGTACTCCTTGCTCTAAGGAAAGACGAACCAGCACAATTTACTGCCCCCTGGATGGAGTCTGGGAGGTTTCAACTACGTCAACCAGGAGAGGAAATCACAGAACGTTCTCTCCTGAGTGGGGCACAGCGCGGCCGAGAAAGGGAGGAACCAACGGGCAAAATCAACAGAGCCTACAAACTGGTCTCCAGCACTGAGCTGGCCTTGGGTGGGGTGGGGGGCTGGGGGCCCCGGAAGGGGGGGAGTGGACACCAGGGACAGGGCGAAGCCCCATTATCAACAGGACTTGTTTGTGTTTAGGCCACACCCAGCAATGCTGGCGGTGCTGGGAGGACCACTGGGGATGCCAGGGTGGACCCTGGGTTGGCCGCTCCCCAGGCCAACACCCTCCCTGCTCCGGCCCCACTGACTTAGTCTTGGACATGGACGCGACTGTGAAGGATGGTGACTAAACCAAGAATGAAACTAAGACCCACCAGGTCTGGGTGGGACGGCAACAGCCCCGCCCAGCCCCGGGAGCGGCCCCCCCAGGGCAGCTCAGGAAGACACACAGACTTACCTGGCAGGTGGGGAGCAGGCTGACCCCCCAGCCCCGATGCCGAGCCACGAGGAACAGTGAGAGCCAGGTCAGCACGAAGGAGGCAACGAGGGCCAGGAAGAAGCCAGCGGCATGCAGGCTGTGGTGCGGCAGGACCTGGGGGCGCAGACATGGTTCCTGCCCGGTGTCGGTGTCGTCTCCCGGGCCTCAGTGCCAACGGACGGCACAGGTGTGCCGGAGCCCAGCCAATGAGGAGCCGAGGAAAAGGGCCGAGGGGGGGTCAGGGTCACACCCAGAGGGGGCTCAGGGGTCGTGACCTGGACAGGGCCAGTGCTCCTGCTGCATGATATCCGGGCCGAAGTGGAAGGAGGTGGAGCTGAGGCTGCACACACATACACACTCACATACATACACACACAGCCACACACACATACACACAGTCACATACACACACATACACAGTCACAATACACACACATATGCACAGTCACACACATATACACAGTCACATACACACAGTCACACACATATAGTCACATACACACATACACACGGCCACACACATATACACAGTCACACATCCACACACATCCACATACATACACACTCACACACATACAGTCACACACATATACACAGTCACATACACACACATATACAGCCACACACATAGTCACTACACACATACACACATATACACACTCATACACAGTCACACATACAGTTACACACATATACACATTCATACGCATATACACAGTCACTACACACACACACATAGAGCCACACATACAGACACAGTCACACATATATACACAGTCACATACACACATATACACAGTCACACACACATAGACACAGACATATACACACATACACAAATACACGTATACAGTCACACACATATACACAGTCACACACACATACAGCTACATGCATATACACACGGTCACATATACACAATCACACACATATACACAGTCACACAGTCACACACATATAAAGCCACACACACACACATACAGTCACACATATATACATACACACTCACATATACATAGTCACACAGACACAGCCACACACACTGACACAGTCACCCACACACACATATACAGCCTCACACATACTGTCACACATATATACAGTCACACACATATACAGCCATACACATATACAGCCACACACAGTCACAGACATATACAGTCATGCACAAGTCACACAGTCACACAAACACACACAATGTACATATAGTCACACACATACACACAGTCACACACATATACAGTCACACACCTATACACACCTATATAGATGAACAGTCACACACATATATATATACATATATACACCTACACACATATACATACCTACGCACATATATATACACACACGAATACCCACCTACACACATATAGATACATGTATACACACCTACGCACATTTACAGTCACATATGCACATATAAACACATATAGTCACACATGTACATACATATACACACATTCACATACACACATATATGTACACACATAAATACATACCTATACAGATACTCACACATTCATACTCGCATACACACATATATACACAGCTATAAACCCACACACATATGCACACACCTACATACACACACCTACTCAGATTCTCACACAGTCACACACACACACACACCCTACACACATATAGACACATGACACTCACATATACACAAATGCACAGACACACACTCACAAACACTCTCACACAGGGAGTAAGCCCACAATACTCAGGGACAATGCTGACAGGGCTGGGGGGTTGGGTAGCTGACATGCCCCGTGATGAGAACATTCCAGAACTAGATCGCATGTTCTCAAAAGCAGAGCAGAACCCAAACCCAGTCACGGCCAACAGTGAGGCGCAGCTGCAGCTGCTGAGTGGGGGGCAGGCCGAGAGGGCGTAGGACCGGGCCCGCCCCTCGTGGCCACAGAGAGGCCTCGCCCAGCCTGACCCTCCGCATGCCCATGGCGAGGGGGCGGGGTGGGTCAGCTGGCCCGGACCAGCGCGCGGGGCCAGGCTCTGGGCACGTTGAGGTGGCAGGACCCGAGCAGAGCCCACACCCACAGTCTGCCCACGGGGCCCACTGACCCGCCCACGGGTCGCAAGGACTCCCCCCCACGGGGCCCACCGACCCGCGGCTCACCCTGAGCTGCTCCTCCACGACAACGGTGAACGGCGCCTGCAGCTGGGTTCGGTTCTGGAGGAAGGACAGAGACAGCTGGGGCAGGGGGGTCTTCAAGCTCCCCAAGGGTTGTGAGAAAACCGGCCTGGGGTGCTGAGGCACGGGGGTGGGGGAGCCCCGGGCCTGCCAGGAGGGGGCTCCGACAGGCCTGCGGTCTCCCCCCTCCCCCACCATCTGACCCCTGGGCTACCTGCAGCCAGCAGGAGGAGGGTGGGGGGTGCTGAGGGCCACGGGAGAGGAGGCCCAGCCTCGCCTGCAGCCGGAAAGCCAGTGCAGCTAGCCTCGACAGGGTGGACTCGCGGCCAGCACCGGGGACCTGACCAGGACAGGTGCAGGCGGGGGGGGGGGGGCAGGGGCCTCTTCAAGGATGGAGCTGATGTGCAGGGAGGGGAGGGGAGAAGAGAGGAGAGGAGGGAGGAGAGGAGGGGAGGAGGGAGAGGGGAGGGAGGGGAAGGGAGGGGAGGAGGAAAGGGAAGGCAGAGAGGAGGGGGGAAGGACAGGGGGGCAGCGGCCTGCCCATGCCCAGTGGGGTCCAGCAGCCCTTCCGGGTGGGTGTGTACCGGGGAGGAGCTGGGGAAGAGAAGCAGGGCTGCGAGCTGCAGGCGGTCCCCGTCTCTGAGGCTGCCTCCGGCGTCCAGCGAAGCGGTGTAGCTGACCGAGAAGGCGTCCCCCACTGCAGGGAAGGCCCTGTGAGAGGGTGTGACCCCGCACTCGCTGCTGCCTACTGTTTCTCAGGGGGTGTGGGTTGGGCCTGGGAGGCGTGATGGGCCGGGGCAGGCTTCCCTGCAGGGCTCCGGCCCCCCACACCATCTCTCACAGCTGGGCAGCCCTGACCCCGCCCCGCCTCCATGGGGGCCCCATGGGGACAGGGGACAGGAGGGCCCCCGCAGGGACAGGACACAGCTGCCCCCGGCCGAGGGGGGGTCAGGAGCAAGAGAAGCTGTCTGCAAGGACCCTGGGCGTGGACATCACATTCTGAGGGGCTGGGAACGGGGGCACCCGTGCTAAGGGTCAGAACACAGAGGTGAGGGGGTCCTGGTCCCCATGTACCCTAAACCCAAAGGGGAAATCCGCCCTCCTCTCTGGGCAAACAATGGGCCACAGACTGGGAAGCACTGGGACCCCAGACTCACTGGGGGCGGAGCCTGGGGACCCCCGATGCCTTTGGTGGGGACCCCACACATGCCCTGGTGTGCCTCTACCCCATCGCCAGAGTTGAGCCTAGTCTAGGAACCTCCTTCCTGCGGGGTCAGCGGCACCTTGTCCGGCCCACCTGGCACGGCAGAGGACACGTGCCCATGGTCGCTCTCCGCTCGGCCTTTCGTGATGTCAGAGTTTAAGGGACACATCAGTGGGTGCCCAGCTGCCAAGTGTCAAATGAGGTGAAGGCTCTGGAGTGACGGCACAGTGGGCAGGGGCCTGCCCAGAACACGGCTGACCCAGGTTCGATCCCCGGCATCCCCCAGTGTCCCCGAGCCCTGCCAGGAGTCGGCCCTGAGCACCACCGGGGACAGACCAAAACAAACCAAGAAAAACAAAAAAGAAAGGGAATGGGCTGGAGAGTGGTACAGGGGTCACCGCACCTGCCCTGCGCGTGCAGGCCTGGGTTTGATTTCCAACACCCCACAGGGTCCCCAGAGCCTGCCAGGATTGATCTCGGAGCACAGAGCCAGGAACCCCCTGAGCACCTAACCCAGAGCACCTAATCCCTGTGGCCCCAAAATCTCCCCGCCAAAACAACTGTTTATAAAAATCAAAAACCAAGCGAAACTCCCCTCCCCTAGTCGCACCTGGCCTCTCTGCCCCCCCCCCCCGCCCCGGCGGTCACCTTGCAGGAGGTCCCTCCGGAAGGCCTGGACCCCCATGGGCGTGCGGTTCCCGGGCGGGTCGTGCACGCGCAGGCCCGTGACGTTGTCCAGCAGGAGCAGGTCGGCGAGGTCGGCCGCCCCGGGCACGCGTGGGTTGGCTACCACCAGCTGCACCTTCAGGGTCCACTCGGCACCCTGCTCAGGGCCCTGGGTGGGGCGAGAGGAGGGTCACTGCCCACTGCACAGGACCCCGTCTGCTGGGGTGCAGAGTGGCTTCCAGGCAACGGCCCCCCAGCAGCCCAGCCGGACAGACACCCCGTGCCAGAGGGCGGCCCCGGCAGACGGGGCTTCCCTCCCTGATGCACCGCCCACCCTAGCCCTGCCCCAGGTCACACCGTCAGCGCGGGGCTGGGGCCCCCAGCAGACCATCCTGGATCCTGCGGTCCTGAGTCTGGAGGGCTCAGCTGTGGCCGCCTCCTCCCCTGCTGACCCCTGGCCCCAGCCCTGCTCCCCTCACACCCCCCAGCACCCCTGCCCAGACACACAGGGGCCGAGAGAGGGGAAGGAAGCTGGGGAGAGGGGGGTGCGGGATGGGGGTGAGGAGGGATGGGCCCATCAAAGAGCTGGAGTGAGCAGGCGCAGGGGGAGGAGGGCGGGGCAGGGCACAAAGCCAGGGTGAGTGGGCACAGTGGGAGGGGGTGAGGGAGGGGATGTGAGTGGCGTGTGCAGGGCAGTGAACTTCCTGGCGGTGGATCACCAGAGGTAGGGGCAAGGTAACAGGGTGCAGGGCTAGGGTAAGGTGCATAGGTAGGGGGTACTGGGTACTGGGGTTCAGGGTAGGGGTGAGGCGCAGGGGCAGGGGTGTGGAGCCTGGGTAGGGGTGAGGTGCAGGGGTTAAGGGTTTCCTGCACCCTGGGCCTCAGACGCTTTTGAGGATCGCATCCGACCTCTGAGTTTTGGAGAGGGTTGCCTCCCGTAGCGGTGCTCAGGGCTCGCTCCTGTCTCTGTGCTCAGAGATCACTCCTGACAGTGCTCAGGGGACCGAACTGGGCCCAGCCTCAGGCAGGCCAGCACCTCCCCCTGGGTGCGACCTCCCCAGCCCCTGGACCGTCTACACAGGCAAAGTGACTCGGGGCGGGGTCTGCGGTGGACCCAGGCCTTTGAGCCAGCGCATGGTGGGTGCCAGCCAGGTTCATCCCAGCGAGCGCAGGGACCTGTGTGTCTGACCGCAACACGGCTCAGCCCAGGGGACCTCAGGCATGAGGGGCGCCGTGGGAAGGGTCCCTGGGGGCCTCAGGCAGGGCCCGGTGCCAAGTGGAAACAACGCCCCCACTTCCTCCTGCGTCTGCTCAGGCCTCTAGGGACCTTCCACACACACATTTCAGGGCGCCATCGTCTGAACCTCTGATCCAGCCTCAGGTGCGGGAGAACCCCGGCGTGCCAGCATTCACCCCTGGACTTGGCTGCTGCCCGACGGGCAAACCCACCATGCCCCACGAAACTCACCACCGCACACTTCTGGAAGACGACTCTGCTCTCCGACACCTCCTGGGCGGCCCTGGACATCTCTCCAAACTGCAGGCAAACAGGATGAGGAGAGGCTGTAAGTGGTGCAGGGGTGGGCGCTCGCTCTGCACGTGGCCGACCCGGGCTCAATCCTGGGCTCCGCTGATGGTTCCCAAGCACTGGCAGGAGTGCTCCCTCCATGGAGTCCGGAGTCCTCCCCAAGCACTACCGCGCTGGGAACAGCGAGAGCCCAGCTGCAGTGAGGGCGGACGCTTGGCTGCACACCCAGGCCATTCCTTTCCCACCCCCACCCCCCACCCCGTAAGCTGAGAAGGACCAGCACTTCCGAAAAGCCCGCCGGGGGGACGCGGAAGGAGCCTCAGGGAGCACGCGTGGAGTCTCGGCTGACTCTCAGCTGCAGCTTTTCGTAGCGGCCAGAGTTCATCGGAAGAAACAGCTGGAGAAGCATCAAGGGGTTTGCTCCCGACGGTCACCACCACGTGAACCAGAGATGGTGCGGTTAGGGCCACACCCGGGTGCTCAGGGCTTCCTCCACTCTGAGCGCCGGGCTTTCTGAGAGGACAGGACCGGCCACTGTGCATGCTCCAGGACCTCTCTCTGTCTCTGCAGTGTAGGACAAGCTCCCTACCCTCTGCACCACCTCCCAGGACCCCGGGTCTGGAGCCGGGGCTGCAGGCACACGCAGCTGGTGCCAAGCCCGCTTCTCACCGGCGCCTCTGCCCACCGCCCTTCCGCTCAAGAGGGATGTGCTACTCACCAGGGCGTGCGTCCTAGGAGATTCTCTTTTAAACAGCGTCTTCTTGAGCCAGGATGGCATGACAGCGAGGAACGGGGCCCGCAGGTCACAGGCCGGAGCTGGGAGAGGCTCCGAGACGTGGCCCTCGCTGCTGCACTTCCTTCCGGGTGGGGTTTCTGCTGCCAAAGAGAAGCACACGCATGGATGTGTGTGTGCACGTGTGTTGCATGTGTGTGTGCATGTGATGAGCTGCAGGGCGGGGGGCACGCAGGGAATGAGCAAATACCCCACAAACCTCCCGACCACGCTGGGCCAGAAGCGCCTCCTCCGCCTGTCTGCTTCGCCGCTCGGAGGCCGCGGGGGCTGCAGGTGCGAACGCAGGGAGACTTACCCACGGCCGCCCGGAGCGCTGCTCCCACTCGGGCCCTTGGTGGCTGGGACGGGTCCTTGAAAAGCCCACGAGAGTCCGCGTCAGCACCGAGCCCGCACTGGGTCCAGGCCCCGGTGCACATACTGTGGAGCGGATGCTCTCCCTCAGCCCTCCCCTCTCCCCCACCAGCCGATCACAGCCCTGCAGTCCCACAGCCTCTGCTCCCTGCGGGCACTGTTCAGGGAGCACCCCAAATGATGAAACAGCCTGGGGTCAGACAGAGCCACTTCTCGCCCACCAGCCCTGTGATGCAGGGGAGCCCCGAGTTCCCCAGGTGCTGCATGAGTTCAGAGCATCAGGATGGGGCAAGTCACAGAACTGGGTTCCAGCCTAATGCTCGACTCGCTGTGTAAAGTGCTCACCCTCGCTGAACCACAAATGCCTCTTCTGAAAGTCGAGGACCTCGAAGCCTCTAACGCTTGTTCAGTGATGACCACATGGGCACCACAGCCCAACTAGCCCTCCGTGCCACCTCTGTGAGCCTGAGAACACTAATATTCACACTAATACCCTCACTCATGGGCTGGAGTGATAGCACAGCAGGTAGGGTGTTTGCCTTGCACGTGGCAGACCCAAGTTCGATTCCTCCATCCCTCTTGCAGAGCCCGGCAAGCTACCAAGAGTATCCCGCCCACATGGCAGAGCCTGGCAAGCTCCCCAGGGCATATTTAATATGCCCAAAACAGTAACAACAAGTCTCATGATGGAGACGTTACTGGTGCCCGCTCATGTAAATTGAACAATGAGGAGGACAGTGCCACAGTGCTACTCTCACTAATGCTACTGTTACAAGTACTGATCATGCTCAAGCTATGAGTAATACTACCCGCGCTAATGCTGCTTCTTACATTGATGCCGTTGTGACTAATGCTACCAGTGTTCGTACTGTTACTTAGACTAGTTGTATTACTAACGTCGCTACCACTAATACTGCCACTTACGCGAGTACATTATCAATGCTACTAATGCTATAGGGAATGAGACCAGTGCTCACGCTATCAGACTGATTCTGTTACTAATGCTAATACAGCCTCCTATACAAGTACCAATATTAAAACTACTGCTACAGCTAATACTAACAACGCTCACAGTTAGACTAACGCTACTGAAGCTACTACAGCCTCTTACACAAGTACCATCATTAACACTAAAGCTATAGCTAATGCCAGCAAGTGCTCCTACCATTGCTTGGACGGACTCCATTGCTAGTAATACGAATGCTAATACCGTTACTTATATGCTACCCTTAATAGTCCCAATGCTATCGCTGTTCCTGGACCCAGAAGCTGGGTGTCAGGCTCTCACACCCTCCTCTGTGCCGCGGTGCGGGAGGCCAAGGAAAGGTCTCAGGAGACCCCAGGGCACAGGAGCGCGGGTGGGGATCACCAAGTGGAGGTGTCCTGCCTCTCTCTTCCTCCCTCCACACTGCGGAAACGCCCAGAACGTTCCAGCACGGGGGTTCCCGGCAGTGCGAGGCAGCAGAGGCCAAGAGCCGCGCAGGGAGCCCTGGTCAGGCCTGCTGGTCTCTCAGGCCTGAGCCCAGATTTCACCCCACGGGCCAGCCCGCGCCCCCTTCTCCGGCGCACTCAGAGGCAACGTCGCGGGAGGGCACAGACCCCTCCGGCGCGGGGTCCTGGGGGAAGAGCCGCTGCCCCTGGGCCCATTCCCCGGCGCTAAGCCTGGGGCGGGGTGCGGAGCGGGATCGAGGGCCGAGGGAGGGCGCGGAGCCCAGAGGCGAGCAGAGGGGCAGGGAGCGGAGGGGAAGGCCCGAAGCCTGGGGCCACCGATCCCCGCGGGCAGCCCCCTCGCGCGCGCGCCCCAGGGTCCCCGCGCTGTGCCCCCGGCCCGCCCTACCTGCGCGGGGGGCGCCGCGGGCCGCGCCAGGGCCGCCACCAGCAGCGCCCAGGCCAGCACCCACCGGCCCATCGCCCGGCCCCGCGGCTTCCGGACGGCCCGTCGAGCATGCCCAGTGCCGCCGCGCGAAGTTTCGGGGCCCAGTTCGGGGCGGGCCCGCCAGGACCCCGCGTGGGAGGGGCGGGGAGGAGGGGCGCCAGGGCCAGGCCCGGCCCGGCCCGCGGGTGCCACCCCCCTCCGCCAGGCGCCTTCCCTGGTACCCGCCCCAGTAGCCTCTCCTGAGAGGCGGGGCCCCGTCCTGGCGAGCGCCAGGGGACAGGCCAGCGCCGGCCGGGAGAGGCCAGTGCAGGGGCTCAGGGAAAGAAGTCTCTTTGGGGGTTAGGTCGTGCCAGGACCCGCACCCGACTCTCTGCGGCCTCTGGGGGTCTGGGGGTGGGTCTAGGTTTCCTGCTCCCGCCTGGTGCCTCTCTGCAGGTGAGGGTGGAGCGCTGCCGGCTGGCACAGCCTCTGCAGCGGCAGGGCGGTGAGCGCCCTCACCCCCACCCCAGGACGCAGCCTCCTGGCGTCCAGGACACCCTGGCAGGGTCTGAGGGTCGGGAAAGGATCACCTTGGTTCCTGAGGGGCATGCCCAGGTCTTGCGGGGGCACCTGGCGCCAGTGCCCGGGCGTCTTAAAGACAGTCCGACACAGAAGCCAGGCTTGTCCACAGCCAGTCTCTGCTGACGGAGCCGTGAGGACTGGTTGAGGGCGCGTGGCCGGCAGAGCCGGGTGGACTCGGGGACTCTGCCCAGGCCTCTCTGCAGGACCTGCCACTCGACAGAGGAAGCCGCTTGACAGTCCCCCAAGCCCTGTGCCTGCCTGGGCAGAGGGTCCAGGAAGCGACTGAACACACAGGAATGAGCTAAATGGGCTCAGGGCAAGACCGCACCGTAGTTACTAAGACGGCGGGCCCACAGGCCCTGGCCTTGAGGCTCGAGAATCAAAGGGTCACGTGCCACTGCAGTGTCGACCGCAGCTGAGAAAAAGATGGAAGCCAGGCCGGGCAATAGAACAGCGTGGAGGGCATTTGCCTTGCACGCAGCTGACCAGGGTCCGATCCCCGGCATCCCATATGGTCCCCCAAACACTGCCAGGAGTGATTCCTGAGCACTCCCGGGTGAGGCCAGAATAAGGAGGAGGAGGAGGAGGAGGAGGAGGAGGAGGAGGAGGAGGAGGAGGAGGAGGAGAAAGGAGAAGAAGAACAACAAACAACACCAACAACAAGAAAGAAGGAAAGAAAGAAAAATAGGTCACTGCAACAGGACAAGGGTGGGGCAACCCCGTGGGACATGCAGAGGCACCACAGGGAGACAGGGCTGTGGGACCCCACCCTCACACACACAGGTGGAAGGTCCTATGCGCTGGGGCATGGAGCAGGGTCACACGGACAGTTTCCGAGGCCTCTTCGGTCAGGAGGAGGGGCACCCCACCTCACACGTGGACAACCTTGTTCCTCAACTAGTGTCTCCCTGAAACGACCCCCCCAGCTTCTGAAATCACACTCGGTGTTGTCACCATGCAGACCGCCCTTCCCCCCAAGTGAAAGCTATCCCATTAGAGTCCTGTGCAGCTGGAGCTGTAACATGGCGCTGGCCACGCAGACGGGGTCCACACAGGGACGGGAGTTGCTGATGGCCTGTGGATTCCCACCAGAGCCAGCAGTGGGGGCTGTGGTCAGTGCTGGCCTGATCCAGTGCAGCCCATGAGTGTCCTCAACTGTGGCCACCTCCAGGTGGGATCTCAGGAACGCTGAGTGACCACCTGGTGTCCAACTTCGGGGGGCGCTTGCACACACCTTGTTCCATCTAGGAGCAAGGCAGAACTAAGACAGGAGGGTCCCCTAAAACAAGTGAGCAGCAGTGGCCAACTCGGAGACCCAGGGATGTCCCGTGGGTAGAGAGTAAGGGCAAGGGAGGGAGCGGGCTGGACCAGCCTTGGGTTCCTGTAAGCCCTGGCTCTGAGCTGGCTGTGGGGACCTGAGGGCATAAAGGACACATGAGCAGGGACAGAGATGCTAAGCCGGGGCGCAGGGGATACATGCTTTGGACCTAGCCCTGGAAACAGGGGGCTGTCACGGCGGACAACTGTTGGGCTCCAGGGGGAAGCGCACCTCTCCCCAAGGGCAAACGTGAACTCCTCAAGTGGTGCTCCAGGAAGGAAACACCTCTGGAGGGGGGGGGAAACCAGTCCCCCCCCGGAGTGAGGGGGACGCGGGCCTCTGGCCAGGGGAAACACGGAGTCCTCCTGAGTGCTGCTTCTCGCCAGGGGGAAACATGGACTCTCCAAGTGGTGCTCCAGGGAGAAGTGCGCCTCCAGCCGGGGGAGGGGGAACCGGGGTCTCCCTGAGTGATGCTTCTGGGGCCGCGCGCCTCTCTCCGGGAGGATCCGCGGAGTTCCCCGGAGGTGCTCCAGGGAGAAGCGTGCTTCTCGCGGGGGGAAGGAGGGAAACGTGGACTCCCCAAGTGGTGCTCCCGAGGGGAGCGCGCTCTGGCCGGGGAAGCGCGGACTCGGGAGAGGCCGAGCATGCTCAGTGCGGGCCGGGCCGGGGCTGGTGCCTGGGCGTGGGCGGGCGACAGGCTCCTCCCAGGCGGGCGGCGGGATGCGCGGGCGAGGACCGGCGCGGGCGGCGGGATGCGCGCGGCCCGCGCCGACTGCGCCCCGCCATGGCCCGCGGCGCACCGGGCTGCGGGAGCGACGCGCGGCTGTGGCTGGGCCGGGACACGCTGCAACCGGTGTCCGCGCTGCTGGCCCCCGCCGTGCTGCTGGGCGCCGCGCTCGGCCTGGGCCTGGGCCTCTGGCTCGGTTGCCGCGCTGCCCGCGCGCGGCCGCGGCACCAGGTGGGTCAGCGCGCGGGGTCGGGGCGCGCGGGGCGGGAGGAGGGGGCTGGACGCCGCGTTCGCGGAGGGAGGCCGCGCGGGACCCCTCGGGGGCGGTCCGGGGCGACCCTGGAAGTGCTCGCCCACCTCGGACCCGCTCCCGCGATCTGTCTCTGAGCCTCCCGGGGGCGCGCGCCTCCGCCTTCGCGGCACTGTGGGCTGGCCCGGGCCGTCCGGAGGCGGGGACCCGCGTCCTGGCCAGCAAGCGGCTGCCCAGCCCGGTCCCTCCTTCCAGCCCCGCCTGGCCGGCTCCCGTCCGCTGGCTGCTGGCTGTGCGCGCATTCAGTCCCCTCCTGCTCCGCGCCTCGGGTGCGAGTCCGCCAGCGCCTTCTCCCGGGCCTGGGAGCCTGCGCAGGTGCAGACAGCCTGCCTCCGCAGGGCCTGGGGGGTGGGTGACCTGTCCCGGAGATGGCAGGGGGGCGCTGCCTGCGCTGTGCGAGACCCCAGTGATCTCCAGGACCGCCTCCCCTTCCCAAACAGTGCTGTGAGTTTGGGAAGTTGAGGGTACTGGCCCCAGTGGCACGAATGTGTCCCAGGACGCTGGGAAAGGCCCGTGGGATGGCCGTGTGCAAGCCGTGTCCCTGTGCCATCTCTCCGTCTGTCCTCTAGAGTAATTAAGATTGTTTTAAAACCCACCGCACGCTGCTGCTGGCATCCCGTGGGAGCCGCTGTTGGCTGTGGTGTGGCTGGGCACAGGGTCAGAGCTGGCTCCCAGGTCCCGAGAAACTGCAATGGGACCCTGGGAAGGTCTGGGTTCCCAGGAAGGTGCCCGGGAGGGGTCCTGTCTGCTGACCCCCGGTGGGACCCGCACCCTCTAGAGCAGACAGACGGGGGAGAGCAACGGGCCGGGCAGGAATCAGGGGCGAAGGCCAGGTTGGGTGGCCAGACTGCAGTGTCCTTCCCCTCCCGGTTCTAGAAAGATGATGCCCAGAGCCTGCTCAGGAATCTGGAGTCTAACGTGCCCGCATCCCCAGATGCCAGCTCCCCTGCCCGCAGGAGACGGAGAGAAGCCCAGCTGTCCAGGGAGGAGCCTCCAGATGTAAGTGGGACGCTGGGCGCTGTCGCCGGGTGCAGGAGGTGGGCATGCTGGGCCAGGGTGCCCACCTGTTCTGGTCCAGGCCTGGTCCCACCTGGCCGCCAAGTTGCGGCTGATCTGGGGTGGGTGCCCCCAGACTTTGGGGGGACCCAGGATCAAGGACCCACCCTGGCACGGCCTCATGTATGCACTGGGCAAGAAAAGGGGCTGTGGAGTCACTTCCTGATGACAGTGCCAAGGCCAACTGCCCGTTTCTCTGGTCATGGGGTCAGCTCTGGAATGTTCCACCGCAGGCTGTGTGCTTAGCGCCTGGGATCGGGGTGGGGTTGCAGGTCTCGGGGTCCTGTCTCCCCGAGAGCCACTCATCCGCTGTCTGGCTCCCCTTGGCATGTCTGACCCGTGGGTACCGGTGTTCTCATGCCCTTCAGGACTGAGCCCACGTGACCACGGTCCTGCTGGTGCCACGGTTGGGCGTGCAGTGAGTGGCCACAGCCCCGCTGTCCCTCTGTCACCTCTGGGCTGCTCCCTGGTTCTGGGCCCGAGGCTTTGTCTTTGGCCCTTGCTTGTCTCTGTAGCACAGATGGGCGAGACTGTCCAATACAGTCCTTCTGCCATTGACCAGTTCCATCCACACTGCCACAAACTCTCTGGCAGCTGCGGGGGTTCCGTTTATGTGGGGTAGCTTCCCACCCGTTAGACTCTGCGTGTCCCATGCCCTGGCGTGGTGCCAGGTGCAGCAGCAACCACGGTGCTTGGACATCTTGTTAAGGTGTGCGGACGTGGAATCAGCAAGTCTGGGTTCGGGGGAGAGCCCAGGAAGCGAGATGGCCAGCCCGAAGGAAGCACCAGCCTTACCGTTTTGTTGTTGGTTTGTGGGCCACACTTGGCAGTGTGCAGGGTTTCTCCTGTCTCTGCACTCTGGGATCACTCCGGGCAGTGCTCGGGAATCATAGGGGCTGCCGAGAATCGAACCTGGGTCAGCCACGCATGAGCGCCTGCCCAGCTGCGCTATGGCCGCTCTCCTTGCTCTCCGGAAACCACCACGTGCCTTCCGCGGGGCTACGACAGCCTCCCAGTGGGAATGTGGGGCCCTCCCCATCCCGCCAGCGCTGCCATGTGCTGTGCGCCCT